CAAACCTTTTGAGTAAGAAAAACACAAAGTAGTCCTCATTGTTGTGGAGAATTTTCCTTCCACTAAACTTTCCAGCATTGCTTCAGTTTATTGATCTGTAAAAAGGAGGTCTTCAACAGGGGGTCCGCGACCCCTAGGGGGTCCACAGAGGTACTGCATGGGGGTCGCAAAAGTTTTGGTTTATTAGACTTTTTTTTATATTCCCCCCTGCAAATTTTTCCACTAATTGAAATAATTAGATTTAAGTACACATTAAAATGAATTCAACAAACAGTAGTAAACAGATAAATGGAGGCAGAAGATGTCTTTCAGTCATCAATGCACACATTCAGCGACACACAGGAGCTCTTTCAAGCTGGGCACCATTTCATTCACAACACCTGTCCCATCAACCAAGAATCAAAAATACTTTAATTATCCCAGGGAGAAATTACTTTCGTTACATGACTCCCATCTGTAATAGAGTGACTATAGGATCAATTTGATAGAACACAATTTCATACAATATATATAATTAGGGGGTCCCCGCTCCATCTCACCAACAGTTTTGGGGTCCTTAGATTAGAAAACGTTGAAGACCCCTGCTCTAAAGGCCAATTTATACTTCTGACGCATAGCCTCTGTCTCTTTGCGTGACCACGCTCCCCGCGCAGAGGTTCTGCAACCGTCGTCGTGCTCCTCAATAAAATCCTGACTACATGTTGGAGGCTTGAGGAGTAATAATAACAATGGATAACCACAACGAAAGGTTGATTGAGGAGCTTCGGAAGTACAACCACTTGGACGATGCCTCAGACATGTTGTTTTGGAAGATAAAGACTCCCGCTGAAGAAGTTCTCGTGACCTTCCGCCGAAGTTCTGGCGAGTTCTGGAATAGGCTCCCCCTTGCGCTTTGGTGGGAAACTGCTGTGCGTCCCTAGAAATTCCAGACCGACGTTGCAGAAGCATACCAGCAAAACTGGTTTGCGACCAGACACAAGCGACATTTGATGTGTGCGGCTGCAGAACTATAATCTGCCCTCAAGGGTCACTACTGCATTTTCCTTCAACAGTTGTCCGGACCTTGACTGGACCCCCGCCGTACCGTGATTCTGATCTGCTATGTTTTGAATTCCTATCCTGTTGATTCAGTTTGGGTCAAAGTTCATCTCTAGGGTTCTGATGCATAGCCTCTTCGACCATCAAATCTGTCTCTGCGCGACCACACCCCCTCAAAGAGGTTCTGTAACCGCTGTCAGGCACCTCAAAAAGATCCTGACTACACGTCGGACGGTCGCAAACTCGCGCAGACTTCAAGCGGAAGTGCGCAGACAAAAAGCTGCTGTGATTGGTCCTTGGTATGCCTTTCCGGCTGTCTTTGTGGTTTTCCTTCTGGATCCCCAGCCTGGGAGCGCCATTTAAAAAAAAAGAACAACTACAATGGATACTCTAGCTCCATCTCTGTGACCGTGATATCTTGCAGACCTGCCATTGTTATTCTGGAAAATAAACACTCCCGCCGGCGCCGCTGAAGAAGTTCTCATGACCATCCGACGAAGTTCTCTGGTCCCTTGCGTTTTGTCTGCTGTGTGTCCCTAGAAATTCCCGACCAACGGTGCAGAAGCATACCAGCAAAACTGGTTCGCGACCAGACCCAGGCGACATTTGATGTGAAGGAGTATAATCTGCCCTTAAGGGTTAGGGTTGTCACGATAGTAAAGTTTTCAACTCGATACCGATATTCAGAAAAATATTTGATACCACTCTCGATACCATAAGGACAATAACAAAGACCCCAAAATTGAACAGAAATATTTTTATTAATAAATAAAATACAATATATACAAAAAAGAACAATATTTGAGGTTGTATGCTGTGCACAATATTAAGCAAGTCTGTTAAAAAATTTACTAAAAGTGTTCCTTCCTTGGCGATGCATAATGACACTAGCCAAACCAGCTAACAAACAAAAATAAATGCTGTATTACGGGAGGGAAGAGCAAACCTTGGGTTTAGCTGCTTAATAAGTTGTTGGAACCCAGGTTTCTCCACAGTTAAATAGGAACCTGATCCATACATATGTATAGTTTCAATGTTTGACTCCAACTTATTTGGAAATTACTGAACAACAATTTGATGAATTGTTTTTTTTATTTTATTTTTTTTTTATAGTTGAAGATTAAAACTCAGGAGTAACTTTAGAAATATGAAATAAACCTGTCAGGATTCAATCTTTTGAATTAAAGATGTTTTGTTTTTCTCTCTTTCCTTTTTAGGTGTTTTAGAGGATTCTTCTGCAACTAAAATCCCTGAAATGGAAAAGTCTGAACCCCAAATCAGTCAGGACGGCGTTGTTAAAGCCAAAGGGAAAGTGTTTGTTTGTGAGCTCTGTAGGAAGAGCTTTAACCGTCGCTTTCACCTGATGAAGCACATGAACACTCACAAAGAGCAAAGGCCGTTCGCCTGCAATCAGTGCGCCAGGAAATTCAGGAATGCGGAAAACCTGGAGCACCACCTGCTGCGCCACGAAGAGAAGAAGTACACCACCTACAAGTGCCAGCACTGCGAGAAGACTTTCAAGACGAAAATGAACCTGAAGACCCATCAGCTCGTCCACACCGACCGCCGACCTTTCAGCTGCAGCACCTGTGGGAAGGGCTTCAAAACGAAGCACAACCTGCAGGCCCATCAGGCCGTGCACCTGGCTGAGAAGCCTCACAAGTGTTCAGAGTGTGGGGAGGGCTTCAGATACGCCATCAGCCTGCAGTGCCACCGGAGCGTTCACACCGGCGAGCATCCCTACACCTGTGCGGCGTGCGGCAAAGCTTTCTCCAGCAGGCGGTCGCTGAGGACGCACCAGGCGGTCCACAAAGGGAAGGTGTTCACGTGCGAGACGTGCGGAGCGGGATTCACCCTCAGGCAGAATCTCCGGAGACACATCCGCATTCACACGGGGGAGAAACCGTTCGCCTGTAAAGTCTGCGGGAGGAGCTTCACGCAGGACAACAAGCTGAAGGCGCACATGCTTCTCCACGGAGCCACAAAGGCCTTCATGTGCGATTTGTGTGGAAAGACGTTTCTCTACAACTGTCAGCTGAAGAAGCATCAGAAATCCGCTCACGAGGAGAAGCAGGCGTTAAGAAGGCCACGTCTGGAGCGAGGCCGGCGCAGGGTTATCTACCGGCAAGACAAAACAACGGTGGACGTGACGCCGTTCAGCTGCAGCACCTGTCACAAAGGCTTCGACTCAGCCACCTCGCTGAAGAGGCACGAGCTCATCCACACGGGCGCCACGCAGTACACCTGCGACCAGTGCCACAAGTCCTTTTTCTACAAGGCCACCTACGAATACCACCGCAGGATCCATTCTGGAGAGCGCCCGTTTGCTTGTGACGTGTGCGGGAAGCGCTTCATCATCCGCCAGGCCCTTAAGTCCCACAAACTGCAACACTCTGGGGAGAAACCGCACAGGTGCGAGCAGTGCGGCAAGGATTTCAGGATATACACAAACTACCTCAGACACCTCCGGATCCACACAGGGGAGAGGCCCTACGAGTGCGAGGTCTGCGGCGCCCGGTTCCGGCAGCTCGGACACGTAAAGTTTCACATGCAGGTCCACACGGGAGAACGGCCGTATTCATGCAGCAGCTGTGGGCTTGGATTTTCAGACTCCAGGCTGCTCAGGAAACATAGCTGCAGTGAGAAATAGGAGGACCGAGGGAGGGAGCGGCATTTCACTGTTAATCTGTCAGATTAAAACTGCACTTTTTAATCCAAATGTTGCCTGATGGTGAACTTCAGTTTCTATAAACACTAGACTTAGACTTAGAGACTCAGACAGATTTTATTTTGTCATTTTGTATACACAAGTGTAAAAAAAAAGAAATTTCGTTAAAAACAGCTCTCTAGACTTTTTCATTTTTTAAAGTGCAGCCTTGAAGCAGCAGTGATAAAAAACATTGTGATCAAAAACAGTAATGTAAACATATGACTTTATAGTTACAGTTCTAACATTCAGTTTTGTTTTTTTCTTTTTTCTTTTTATAACCCGTTATACATAACATTCAACAGTCTAATGGCAGTGGGTAAGAAACTGTCTTTTATGGAGGGAAGAGGAGCCCCGATGTCAATTATTTTTTTGATTAATCGGATAGCCAAAGGTTCCTTAAGAAATTTTAAGAAATTAAATTTGAGTTTCAGATGAAATTCAAATTTTTCTTCTTGAGGAGTTCTAGATAGAGCATATTGACAAACAGCATTTTTTTTTATCTTAAATGCAAAATGTTTATAAATATATATATATATATATATATATTAATTTTTTTTTTTCCAAGTATTGTATGGTTACTCCTCTAAGTGGGTTGCTCTGTCAGCTAAAGGCATATTTTAGTCTCTATACTCCAGTTAACGATTAATCGATTCCTAAATTAGTTGACCATTATTTCAATAATTGATTAATCTAAATTAATCTGATTATTTGTTTCATCCCTAATGAATGGAAATAAAAAGGTTATTTGACTGAAATTTTATTTTTATACTGTACTTTCACAAAAAAAAAAAAAGATAAAAATATGAAGGTTTGGTTTTTGAAGTCTTTTGAGATAAATTTTGCTCTAATTAGACAAAGCAAAATGAAACCTTAAATGTTGGAATCATGGGTAACTATGCTGCCAATTAGTGCAGTTACCATTTTTCACCGCAGGGGGGCAGCAAACACTAACGCTAGGATTAATTTCCTTGTTTTATTTATTTATGCTCTTGGCCTATACGTTTAATTTTACGGAAGCGTAGCTAACAGTATGACTTTAACATGTTAAAAATTGAGCATACTTTTTCTATAGTTTTTATTTACTTTTACAGAAAAAGCCCGTCGGTTGAAAGAGCGACACGCTATCCTAGAAAATCTCGTTCTTGCAGTTTTGGATTTGTCCACTAGAGGGCGTGGAGATTCATTTCGGGACAGGAATCGTGACAGTTTTGATTCCTTCATAATAAAACTAAACTTGTATTTATGCCCAAAAATCAATCATGACTCACGTTAGCTAGTTTATCTCCTCAGTCTAAGAAATAAAATATATTTTAAAAACTGATTTTTTAAAAGTTTTTTTTTCCTGTTCTGTGTTGTCTTATTTTGAAGGAAGTGAACCCGGAAGCAGAAGAAGACGCCTGGCTCAGAGTGTCACGCGTGTTTTCACCTTAACGACAACATTCCCGAACCGAGGTGGTCGGATAAAAGTTAAACAAAGAAGACAAAAAGCAGTTGCATCGATCGGTGTACGAACATTTTCCCCAACATGTCCGATTTGGTGGCGCGAGTTTGCGCCATTTTGGACGTAATGGTAACAGCAACCGTGTCAGAAATGGACAAAGTTATCTGCAATTCTGCTTCGACCAGTCCATTTGAGCCTCCACCCGGGACTGAAAATAAACCAGAGTCCTCGGACGATAAGGTAGATGAAACCCGGCTGGTTCTGGTTCTGCTCGCTGGTTTAGTTTTTCTCCGCCTCCAACAGAGGCGTCCGGACCAACAGCTGATCATAGAAATACAGCAGCTAGCTAACTGTTTCACTGTTTAGGAGCTAAATGTTGTGCTTTAGCTGCACCGACATCAAGGTTTGCACTGAAATGACTTTAAAACAGGAAGCTGTTATTCATTCAGTCTTTATTATAATGCATTTTATTCCAGAGTTTCGGCTGAGGCCTGTCTACATGACCTACATCTAGGAGAATCTGGACCAGATCCATTCTTTATTGGACATTTCAGACACTGCTGCTGTTATATTTTTTAAACAAGTTATAACATTGAGCAAAAGTCTAAAATCACCCCAATCACATAAAATTTGCACCATTGTCATTTCTACTGTTTTTTATATTTATCTATCTAAAGAAATAACCGTCAACTCATTTGATAATCTAATCAAAACAAACTCGGATGAGTAATTTAACATATGTTTAACATTTTCCATTGAAATTCTGTATTTTTTTTTAAAGAAGAAAAAAATATATAGCACCTTTATCTGTCCAATCATGCATTCATTTATCCTAAACAAAAAATAGTCAACAAACTTACAAATTAATCCATAGTGGTGTGTACACCTTATTAAATAAATAGGATTAAACAACACTGCTATTTTATTTTACATGGATTAGCCACAGTTAATTTAAATTGTGAAATAAATGTTTTTTCCCCTTTAATTCAAAGTAAAAAAAATACATAAATAAATAAATAATAATTTTATGTTTTTGTTGTTGAGAGGAATCTTAACTGTATCTATGTATGTATCTCTATAGATTAATAAATCAAACGAATTATCAATAATGAATGAATTATTAAAATAATAGCTGCCAGGAAAGATTTTTATTAAAACGCTTCAATCCAGCATTTACTTGCCACTGGAATATTGTGTGTATTTAAAGCAGGAGCTGTCTCTTACATTTGTTCCTCGCTGAGGACTGGATCATACAGTGTGTTGAACAGGCAGAAGAGAAACAGTGCCTGGTTTTCTTCTTTATTTCAACAATCGATTCCCCGTAGTCCGATTTGATTTGCTACATGAATATAAATCCCGATCTAGAAGTTGCAGGAATTCAACCTCCGTTTAAAGATCTCTCTTGCAGCTCTTAGTGAATGTTTAAAGCTGAATTTATGCTTCTAAGCTAATGCCCCCATCTAGGGCTGAAACTAAAGATTATTTTGCAAATCGTTTAATCTGTTGATTATTTTTTCAATTAATAATCGTATAGCAAATGGTTCCTTACAGAAGATTTTTTTTAAATTAAATTAAACCAGGTGAAACTAAAACTTTTCCACTTGATTAGTTCTGGATAAAGCATATTTACAGCTGGAAATGTTGTTGTTTTTTATCTTTGAGGCAAAATATTTACATATTTATTTATTTTTTTTTTGCAATTTTGGTATAATCACTGCTCTAAGCATGCTGCAGCTAAAGGCATGTTTTAGAGTCTCTATACGCCAACTAATGATTAATCAATTATTAAACTAGTTGACGATTATTTTAATAATCGATTAATTAGGATTAATCAAATTAATTGTTTCAGCCCTACCCCCATCCTTAATCTGATTTTAAACAAAGGCAAAATAAAATGTGTCATCAAACCTCTCTAATCTGGTCTTTCTGGGTTTATAGATGGGTTTAAATGTTGAATTTGGAGTCCTTGTTGTCCAAAGTGGTTTAACCAAGGAGAAACAACATAAGCAGGAGTGAAGCTGAAGAACCAGGAGAACGTGAGCTGATTTTGTAGCAGATATCGACGTGTCCTATCCCAAACTCTACAGTCCAAACCTTTACGCTTCATGAGTTTGCAATGACTCTATATAACTCTGTCTTTGCTCTGCAGGGGTTTATAAACCCGACATCTACAGATTTAGATGTAAGGCTGGCATCACGGTTGGTTTGGCTGATGTATTTTAAGACCCATCAGAATTTTGTGGTTTCCTCCTCAAGGTGATGCAGTTCAGTGTCTTCGTGGCGTCTCTGGCTCAGGAAGCTGTGCAGAAGATCTGCCAGCTGTTTGACGAGTGTTCCTCTGTGCTGCGGCTCGAGGTACGCCGTCTGCTTTTACCCTGCATGATCTGAGAGTTACATGGTTTGGACGTTAAAGCTCATTGTTGGTGCCACAGGTATCGCAGAGTGCGGAGGAGATCGAAGACCTGAGGAGGAGACTGAGGGGCGTGGAGATGGACCTGAAGCTGGTGATGGAGGGAGGTGCAGAGCTAGGAGGCCAGGAGGAAGTGACAGATGAACCACTGGAGGAGAGGGGGGAGGAAGAAGACAGAGGTGAGCAGCTGTCCTCCTCGCTGTGCCCAGCTCTCTTTCAGGGAACATGCAAAGTACACCATGACTAATTCTGTTATGGACTCAGTCAGAAGCTGATCTAGGCTGCACAGCTCTATGATCAGCTGAATAGACTCTTTCAAAAGGATTTAGCTCCTAAGATTCTCTCATAAAATCCTAAATACTCTGGATGTTTGGGGGTTTTTTTGTTTAGTTTTTTTTTTTTTTGCAAATATTCATCAATGTTCAGCAGCAAAGAGCAGCAGAACCTGCAGCAATTCAACCACAGTGTGTCATTGATCGTTAATTAAAAAAAGAGAGAAATACTTTTTCGGTTTTAATTAATTAAAAAAGAAAAACAAGCACAGAGAAGTTCAAAACACCAAACTAGATACATAAATAAATAATACAGTCGTTGTAAATTTATTTAAATATATAAAGCGACAAACTCAAATGCTAATTCTGAGTTGAAAAAGCTTCCTGGATGGGAAGCGAAACGTCTTTAAACTTGGAAGCAAATTCGAGTTGATTTTTAACATTTTTGGAATGTTCTAAATGTCTTGGTTGTAAGTAGTCTTTATTTCAGAAGCTGTTGCTGTTCTGTCATCTTGAACTAGTCGATACCAACGAAGCATTTTTACACACAGCAGCTCCTTCCTGGATGTTTTCTCTTTTCATGATCATTCTCTGTAAACCTGAGAGATGGTTCCCAGTAGATCCTGGCTGCATCCTTTCTGGCACCATTATATACTCGGTCTCCTATCCCCTTTCCTCCCCATCTGGTTGCACATAAAACGCTGAATTAATTTAATAGATAATCAGCACATTATGGACACAATAAGTATACAAAAACTGTACAGGGTTTCCATGGTTCATTAAAAATCATTAAATTATTGTTAATTTTTTAATTAAGGCCTTAGTTGGCATTGAAATTCATTAAACGTGATTATAGCGGCATTTAAAAGAAAAAGAAAAAGAAAAGTTTATACAAACAATTTTGTCAGATATAATATATCAGATATAACTGGTTCCACGTGTTTGCGTGGAACTGCTTGCAGTTGATTGTAAAGCAGTAAGTTCGCAAAAGATGCTCGGGGCGGAGAAAAAGCTAGAGATTGGAAAAAGGCTAATTTTAACAGAAGTGGTTGGAAAACGAGGAATTCGGGACATGGCTGCAGCCTGTCGACTGTGTCATTAATGTCATTAAAATCTGTCCATAACTTTTCAAGTTATCCTATACACAGAGAGACAGACAAACTCTCCTAAAAACATAAAATAAAATAGGAATTTGGGGTTTTCATGAGCTGTATGCCAAAATCATCCGTATTAAGACAATAAAAGACCTGGAATATTTTAGCTAGTGTGCAATGAATCTAAAATATTTGAATGTTCAAGTTTAACATTACATTATGGAAAATCATGAACTTTATCACAATATGCTAATATTTTGAGAAGGAGCTGTATTTTGTGGAAAAAGCAGTTCCCCCTTAAACCAGAAGGTGGCAGTAGTGACTATGGCAGCATCGGACTCAAAAAGTCTGAACGTATTTAGACAAAAACAAAAGGGAACGTTTTTGGTTTGATAGCAGGATCAGTTGAAACCTACATTTTATTTAGCAGAGGTGCGCCTCATGCCAAGGAAGAATTCCTTTATATTTGCTCATGATCCAGATCATATGCGACTCCAAACTGTAGGTGTAAGTCACATTGGGGCAAAATTAACTGTTTAGCAGAGGTCTTCGCTTTCAGAGTGCTCTTCTAGTTTATTTATGTTTTTGTTTTGTTTTTTAGCTCAGGACACATATTTAATCTTTGATTAATTTTGTATGTCATGGTTTTCCTTTTCTTTGTTTTAGTTGTGGTTGCAGGTGAAACTGGAGTGAGGAGGTCGCCTATAATTCATCTTTGGAAACACAGAAACTACGGGGTAACGCTTTGATTGCATCACATGTTTCTCACCTCATACAAATAGTTACATTTATTTTTATAAATTATTATTTTTGCCAACATAAAATTAAATTGTAGAATATAGCAGATGTGAGGAGAGTGGGAAACACATTTTTAAAAATTGATCTTCATGAATCAATATGTGAATAAATTCAGAATTGGGTAATTTTTTTGTTTTTTTTTTTAGTTTTATTTTAATTGGCCTAGTCCAAGTTTTCATCGATTAGCTTTTGCTTCAAACCTTCTTTAAATGTGATGAAGTTATAGTAGATTTCATATTGTTAATGAGATTTTTCCAGCTTTAAAGGTAAAGTGGAGGATGTTTTTTTTCCCGGGTGGATCATCAAAATAAGTGGTCCTCCTAATTGTCAGTCATTCAGGTGATATGTTTAGGTAAGGCCGCCCTACGTGCTCGTCCCCGTTTTCACTTATGGTGGTGAGTCTGACATAGTGGAAAAATTACAAATCTTCAAAAATTCGCCAAAATCCTCCACTATACTTTTAAGCTCCATGAAATCTGACATGACACTGATACAAGTTGCTTTATGCAACAGCAGATTCTAATTTTCAGCCTCCTGAACCATAAGGTGATCTGTAAAAATATGTACCAACACTGGAAAAACCATCTAGGAATAAGTATAAAATATCTTAAATTAGGTGTATATACCCTTAATTTGAGTGGGAAAATGAGATAGTTTGCAAATGGAAAGAGTATTTTTACTCTTAAATAAGATGATTAGATAATATGCACTTGAAATAAGACAATGCAATTATGTTTTCTTATTTTAACTGTAAATTGTCTTTTTTCCATCAGCAAAATGTTTCTTTTACCTCCTTAATCCAAGAAGAAATGCATTTATTTTAAGAAAAAAAAATGACTTATCTAGATTTCGAATTTTTTCCAGTGAGTAAGATATTTGAAAGCTGCAGCTATAGACACAAAGATGCATCTGGGAGAGTTAAACCAGTTTAGTGAGTAGAAGCTAGTTAACAAGCTGCCCTTTCATTGGTCTTTTCTGCACTTGTACACCTGTATGTCTTAAATTGAGGCAGCAAAATTCACCTCAGATCACTACACTGTTTAAATCTGTATTAAAACGAGCCACATCTAAGTTATTTTATTTTTAACAGCTTTATCTGGAAGTTCTCTATAGAGGCTTTTCTGACTAGAATTAGTAGTGAACAGTTTTTTTTTTTTTTTGTCTTGCTAAGGTTTAATGATCTGGGGTCCGCTATTTTCCACCCACAGTGAAGTAACAGCAGATCTGGGAGGATTCAGAGTTCATAAAGTCATGAATCATGTTATGTTTGCTTTTCCATGAGAAAGAGAGCAGCATTCAGAAAGCTTGTGTTTTACCTCCACTTTGTCTCCTCATGCTCCTTCAGGACAGCTTCCAGCACGTTTTAATAAAGCAGGAGATGCTGGAGGCCTCAGCCACTTCTGATCAGCATCCAGAGGATCCTTCCCAGGATGAAGATGAGGATCCGGACTATATGGTCAGCTATGGCCTAAATAATTTGACGTGATCTTTGTTTTATCGTCTGGAGAATTAAAAATGGTCATGATCTAAGTTCTGTTATCTAAACAGATCGGCTCATTTTGTTTCACTCAATTTAATGATTTCTTTTTAAACTTCTGGTCCTTTTTTACTGTTAGATAACAAAAAAATAGGTGCTTAAAACTACGTCTAGAAAAAGTGTGAATTTTGACATTATAAATTATGTTGAAAAACAAATAACTATGGCTAAAACTAATCACAGCTTTCCTTCATCTTTTAGGTGGAGGCAGTAGATCAGGGTGACTGCAATGACCCGGTTTATACAATCAGACGTAAAGCCTTCACAAAGCCCAGGTCTCGGATCAGATCACTAAAGGACCTTCAGGGTCAGAAGGAGCAGCTTCCCAGCAGCAAACTCCGCAGGAAAACCTTCAGCAAGCTGCTGCTGCTGAAAGCCCACCAGGCCGTGCACGGTGCCAACACAGAGAAGCCCTTCATCTGCTCCCAATGTGGGCGTGGCTTCTCCTTCCAGCGAAGCCTCAGTGCTCACATGCTGATTCATACAGGCAGGTCTCCTCTTTAGGCCAGTCGCATCTAGAAAGTGGCCTGATTGAACTGCTGTGATTTAAGTTGTGTTACAGTCACAGTGTTTAGATGGTTTTCAATAGAAACTAGAATGCCTGCACTTTAAAATGCACATGTAGCTTTAATAGGTGATACCATTTAGGTATGTTGAACTTTGGTGCACAAGCTAAAATGAGGCGGCAGTTAACCAAAAAAACGTCTCTAGGGAGGGGAAAAAAGAAATCTTCCTATTTTTATCTTTAATCAACATTTTTAATATGCTGAATGTGAAACATAGCAACAAAAAATAAGACGTCATAAAAAATAATTACAGCAACAACCAAATATTTTAAATATTTGTATTAAGAGCCCAGAAATGAGTAGAAATTTTGTTTAAAAAAAAACATATTTATAGGAGCTACAATAGTAATGACTAAACTTATTTTCAGACTTTATTCTCCTGTTTGTAAATAAAAGTTTCTGCTTAAAACGTGCACACATTAAATAGTCAATCACTTCCAATGACTCTAAATCAGAAATCAAATTTAATGCTTTAAGAAAGCCAAAAAAATAGTTACAGTTTTGCAGCTTTGTGTGCAGAAAAGAGAATAACAGCATTTGTGGTGAGAGAAAAAAAAATCGATCTCCTATTAATTCCCGTTTATTTGGAAGAAAAGCAGTCTGATTGGGATCTGCATTTTTTTAGCACAGAATTTTAAACACAGAATTTTTTTTTACACATTGAATTCCTTCCACTGAATTTTTATGTGATGAAAATTCAGCTGCAAAATAATCCCCTGCAAGAAATTAACCTCCAAAAATTATCCCTGCAAATGTGCTGACCTTTTGGTGAACTCAAGCCAAAGCAATCTGAACTTGAGCATTGAGCATTGAGCATTGAGCATTTTCCAGCTAATGAAATTAGCTCACTTGGTCAGAAAATAAAAGTTTGCCACCGGCCATTTCTTTCGGTTCAAACCAAGAGCCTTGGAAGACAGTGGTGACGAACTAGCTGTGAACGGCTCAGTTATTTCACCCAGTGCGATTAGATGAAAAACTCTAATGGCTGTCTATTAGTAGCTACCTGATGTTTTGTAATCATATCTATTTAACAAGAAAAACTCCTCATTCAGCTTCATTTACCAGTAGTCTGTTGTCACATGACCAAATTAGCTAATTTGATTGGCTCGAAACTGCTTGACTGCATCAAGTTTAGATTGCTTTGGCTTCATATCAACAAATGGTAAACACATTTGTAGTTGAATTTTTTGCAGCTAAATTTTCTGCAGATAAAAATTCAGGAATTCGATGTGTAAAAAAATTCCGTGTTTAAAATACGGTGTACAGAAAAAGGCAGATTCCAATGAGACTTATTTTCTTCCATATGTTTACATAGATTGATTTATGAGTGCTCAGTTTCATTCATTCAAAGCTGAGAGGCTACAAGGTGTCTAAGGAAGAGTGTTTTTCTTTATCCTCCTATTAGGGAGGGTTTGGGATAAAAATAATGGTTCTCATAACAAGCTAGACTATTTCTCAAGGTCTATTTCATAACATGTTACTGTTTTCTCCCACTATTTGTAATTATTTTGAGGAACGATATGTTGAGACCTTCAGAAACTTTTCTGCAGTCTTTAAATTAGTGATAGACAAACTTTGTCGAGGCAGAGCAGCTGAATCACTGATCTCTATTCACTGGATCGCTGATTGCCCGTTTGGAGTATGGGGTTGAATTGAAGTCAAAGGCCGCCATATTGGTACTCCCTTGTTAGAGCGGTCGCAATGTAAACAATATGTGTGCTACATCCAACATCATTTTCAGAGGGACTTAAGACTTTTAAAATAAGAATAAATTCATCACTTTGACACACACTTGCTGTTTCATAGCATAATTAGATTATTTTTATTTATTATAAAAAAGACAGCCACATCACATTTTAGTCATTATGAAGTCGATGGAGTCTCTAAATCATGTAATATAACATATGCAAATCCAAAGCATAAAAATACAAAGTGCTAAATTGATGTAATATATGTATTTATTACATTGTTTTTTTAAAATTACATTTATTATATGGTAATTAGATCTTACATGTAAACAAAAAGAAATTTAATTTAGAACAGCTCTCTAGACAATTAAATTTTTAAAAATGCAGCCTTGATAAGGTAATCAACAGTTGTTGTTGAGCTGCTACTACTGCCTCCAGCTCCTGAAGCACTTCTCCCGGCTCAGTGGAGGAATAGGACGATGATGACGATGCTGTGAGGATGGTAGCCCCCTGGGTTGAAGAGGCTGATGTGGTTGAAGCAGCAGTGGTTCCATCAGCAGGTTTAGCAGTGACAGACGATGCTGGAGAAGGCGTGGAAGCCAGAGGGGGCCGGGAGGAGCCAGCTGGGGATGTCTCAGCATTTGGTAGGGAAGCATCTAGGGTGCTCTCCTCATTTTCACCTGCAGAGGGCTGTGCTTCCCCTCTAGATGCTGAAGATTGCCTGGGAGCATTTTATATATATATATATATATATATATATATATATATATATATATATATATATATATATATATATATATATATGATTGAAACAAACAAATGATTGAGTTGCTTTTTTTCCGTCAATATAACATGTAATGTATTTCAGCACATGACTTTTTCAAATGAGAAATGGAACAAACACAACAAAAACGACAGCGTCATCCACTTAATAAAGAATACATTGACATTTCACAGTAAATTACTTTCTATACCTCTACTTTCTATTTTCTCACATTAGACACAATGTCAATGGCTAATTTAGTCAATGTCTTCGAGTCAGTCCTAGATAGCCAGACTAATGTTACGCTACATATTGGATACATTGGCATGTATTTGGGTTTTCTAGGTTAGTAAATCCACTGACTGTGATATTACCTGTGGAACATCTTCCCACAGCTGGCAAACTGCTTGTTTTTGAATCCAAATGCTACACATGTATGCATTTTTATTGCGTGTCTCTGTGGGAGTGGGGAGTACCAACATGGTGGACGGTGGCTTTACTTTTTTCTGGCAATCAGCAATCCAGTGGATAAATGGAGATCAGTGGGCTGGATAGCATGCCATCTTTATTTGCAAAGAAAATAAAATGCCGTCTGAGTGAATTACCATTGATCTCTTTATTTAACTGGAATACATAGTTGAATACCATTTTTCCCTAGACACAGTTCTACTATGAATGTGTGTCATAGTAGCTAACCTAACCTGACTGAAGACTGCAGAAAATCTGCACGCCCAACGTTTTTTTATTTTATTTATTGCAGATACTAGTTTTACAGTCCAGGACTTCATTGTGTGTTTTAATTCACTTCATTTCTAACATGTTTACAGGTGAGAGACCCCATATCTGTGATGTTTGTGGAAAGGGTTTCACCTTGAAGCAGCTCCTGAGGAACCATCAGCGTCTCCACGCTGATTTGCGTCCGTTCCGCTGCGACCAGTGCGGCAAAAGTTTTTACCGAGCTCATGGCCTGAAGTTGCACCAGAGGGTCCACACTGGTGAGCGATTGTATAACTGCCATTACTGCAACAAAGGCTTCACGATACCAGGTAACCTGCAGCGCCACCTGCGCATTCACACCGGCGAAAAGCCGTACAAATGCAACACGTGCGGCAAAAGCTTCAACCAGGCGGATACGCTGAAAGGCCACCAGCGGTTGCACACGGGGGAGCGTCCCTTCAGCTGCGAGACCTGCGGTAAATCTTTTATCCAGAAAAACGCCTTAAAGATGCACCAGAGGACGGCTCACCTGGACGAGACCAAGCTCACCTGCGTCGCCTGCGGCACGGTGGTGTCTTGCATCGAGTCTCTACGCAAACACATCCAGACACACTCGGCGACCATTCCGTGCAGCTGCTTGCAATGCGAGCAGAACATCTGTTCCATCACCGAGCTGCGCGAGCACCAGCAGCAGCACACGCTGGAGCGGCCTCACAGCTGCGGCATCTGCGGGAAGAGCTTCAAGTCGGCCAGCTACCTGAAGATCCATCTGAAGGCGCACAGCGGCGAGAAGCCGTACGCCTGCGAGATCTGTGGACGTCTGTTCACGCAGCAGAGCAGCCTGAAGTCCCATCAGGTAGATTGTCCTGCAGGATAGGCAGCTATACATGTGGCAGATTAACTCTGAGATGTTTTGTTAATATAAAATGTTTTTTTTTTTTTTTTATGGCTAATGTTTTTCTGGGTCTGGTAACCGATAGATGCTACAAGTTTTATACAAGAATTAAATTCATCTCTTCAATTGAATATTATTATTTAGAAATTAACTCAGAATAAGAGTTTCTTACAGAAAAAATACAAAGTCTATAGATGTTTTATTTCATTAAAGCAGATTTTCTTTAATTTCCTGGTTGCAGAACCTTATGGTTGATCATTGCTGAAGCTGCGTGAGATCTCTGAACTTTTAGGCTATATTCAACATCCTATTCCTCTCCTTCAAAGGTTGTCCATACTGGCGAGAAGCCGTTCAGCTGCGACACGTGTGGGAAATCCTTCGGCAACACGGGCAACCTGAAAAGGCACCAGCGCATCCACACGGGCGAGAAGCCGTTCAGCTGCGACATCTGCGGACGCTGCTTCAACCAGGGCAACAGTCTGAAGGCTCACCAGCAGATCCACACCGGAGAGAAGCAGTTCATATGCGACAAGTGTGGGAAGAGCTTCTCCTACCTGAGGAACCTCAAGGATCACAAGTGTTTCTACGTGTGATACGAATTTGTGACCGAACTTTTCCCAGACTTCGGAACCGCCTTCTGGCCGCCTGGCTTACAGAACAGCAGGTTCTGGGTCCGTTTTGTGTCTTTCTGATTCTGTTTTAGCACAAGTTGGATAAACAAGTTAACAGGAAACACTGTATTTGGTTTTACTTGAGCTGTAAAAGATTTCTTCTGTTAAAAAATAAAAATTGGGAAGATGTTACGTTCACAATGCTGACTCATCAACAGCCCATTCAGAAAAAAAGCCAAACTGTTATTTGTTTTTTACTTTTGCAGCGGTAATCGGTTCCTCAACATGTTTCTAGGCAGCTGGCTGCAGGAAACAGGCGTCTAACTCAGTCTTGAAATAATTCGGTCATTAGCCGAACTCTTCACAAGTAGACTGAACTGTTTTCCTAAGGGACTGGAAGCCCCCGCTTAAGTGTTTTAAAGGTTTTAATTTTCAGATTGATCCTTTAATGTTTTTGTGATCAGTTCTCTAAACATAATATGTGTTGAACCTTTTCCAGGCTGTGGTGAATCTGACGCTCTGTGAAAAAAAACAGTACAATTTCTGACACACCGCGTAAATCTCTGGAAATAGTGACAGTTTTACTATTTTGTTAACATTTACATTGTTGCCATCCTTGCTTTGTCAAAATCTGCTGCTGTTATAAACATTTTTGGCATAAAAACCGGGTTTCCAAATGTATTTCTCTTTTTCTTCATGGTGTCAGAGACTTTTTAGGATCACATTTGAACCGTATCTGAAATTTTAGGTATTCTTACTTGAGTTTCTCTTGTTAGTTACTTTAATTCATACATCATTGGCTTGACCTCTGGCTGCACGGCGGCACAGTTTGTAGCACTGTTGCCTTCAGCAAGAAGGTTCAGGGTCCGATTACTGGCCCAGGGTCTTTTTTCATAAGAGTTTGCATGTTCTCCTCTCACATGCTTGGCTTCTCTCCAGGTACTCCAGCGTCCTCCCACAGTCCAAAAACATGACTGTTAGGTTAATTGGCTCCTCTAAATTATCCTTAGGTGTGTGTGTGAATGGTTTTGTGTCTCTGTGGTGACCTGTCCAGGATGTACCCCACCTCTCGCCCATAGATTGCAAGAGAGGGGCACCAGCACCCCACTGTGAACCTGATGGAATAAGTGGGATGCATGGATGGACTTGACCTTTGTTTAAAGTCTAACTCACCCCAAATCCACTTTTTGTGCAGATAAACTGGGTCCATTTGGTGCTATTTTAATGTTTCCCTGAATATTTCAATGTGAGCTTGTTTAGATCTGCATTATTTGTCTAAAACCAAAAGTTTTAGTACCTCCCTTGTAGTGCTGAATAAGCGCCTTGATGCAAGCATCTCGAAATGAAGATCCAGCCCACAGGGCTCAATGAAGCCCCCCTTAACCTCCAGTGACATGGGGAGTTTAAAAATAAATCCTCCTCAGCATAATAACCAGCGTCCCTCTGCTCAGAGTTAGGCTAGGCTAAGCTAGCAGCAAGTTACTCGTGTCCTGACCAAATCTGTATTGAGCCCCATGGCTTATTTCTATTCTGACCCTTCAAGGTCTGTTGGCACCAACCACTTCAGTGCTTTTTTTCAGACCTAGTCTGGGGTCGTTGTTGTTTTTACACTGAGGTGAGTTACAGGTCCCTTTTTTTTTTTTTTGCTTCTATAGATTTATTAAATCTCTTTTTTTCTGGGGTGAAATGCAAAATCAGGCTTCTGTATTCGACAACAGTTGGGTGTAAAAGATTAAACTATTATAGATTTCCTCACATGCAAATGGTAAAATGAAGGGACTGACATTTATTCAAGTTGGATTGGAACAGTTGAGTTACAAACTAAGAATTCCTCTTTCATGATATTAACAGACTAAGTACAAAACCAAGCTGAGAGAGCTAAATTTCACAAATAAACATAACAGAGGTATAAACAGCAGATAAGTAACAAAAGATTAAAGGAAAAATTACAGTACTTTTTTTTAAAAAA